CCTGGGTTCAAACCCCAGCAGCAGCAGTTGCATCCCGGACCTTGATAATATAAATCCGGGAGCGGGGCAGGGCAGCGGCGTGGGCGTGTGCGTCATGATACGGCTTCCTTTTTCGCCACGTGGAGCTCTCCTGCTGCAGCACCTTTCTTCGTTGTTTTCCCGCTTTTTCGCCCGAAAACGCCCCAAAAACAGTCGAAAACCCGACTGTCGGGTTTTGCCGTATTTCCCTGCTGGGCGGTGTGGTGGGTGGGGGCGGGGACCGTTCCCGCTCTGATACCAATGTAGCGGACCCACCAGGTGTGGTGCTCCGCTAGTGACAGAGATGGAGATGGAGGAAGAAGGAGGGAGCAAGGTGCACAACGCAGCTCCCCACGCAAGACTCCAACGCACGTACTCCAAAATGTGCAAGTGAAGAATGAGACTGAAAACAGACAAGTGTTGGGGTATGCCCCAGCGGACTGACGGGACTGGACTGGACTGGCTGGTACCGACAGGTACCGGCCTGGACTGGACTGGACTGGACTGCCCCCGAATAGAACACAGGCCTGTGAGAACAGGCCAAGGGGCTGGTCTCACAGGCCACCCAACTAGAGGTCCGCTATACAGCTTCTCCGAGAGACGGTTAATGAAGGCCTCAATTTTCAGACCACTTGTCATGCCATTCATAACAAAACCCAAGGGTCATTTTAACCAAACTTGCCACCAATTCATAGAGTGGAGATCATACTAACTACTTACAAAAGCGAAATTGAAAAAAAAACTTTAAAAAGCTATAAAACAGCAAGGCAAAAGTGTGTTTCATGCAAAATTCACTCATTTCAGTTTTCAGGGATTTTTCAGGGCAAGCCAAAACAGTCAACTCCAAGACCCCAACAAACAACAAACTTGGCACACACAGACCTTGACCAAAAATAAAACACGGCAAAAAAAAAAAAAGAAAAAAAAAAAAAGAATCTCCAATGTGCTTTTTAGGGTTGACGGGGTTAACCAGGGCTGAAAAGTGGGGGCCTCTGTCAACCGCTTGTGTTCTCCCCTTTAGGGCCCATCGCCCCAGCACAGTCAGTTCTGATGACCACAACCTTGGAAGGGTATGTCGGGTTTTCGATGACATTCAGCTTCTTTGAGGTCGCTCCTTGAGTCTCCTTGCGACAACCCCAGCGTTTCTGGCTGTCGTCTCTCCTTGGAGGGTTCTTTGCTTATCTGACACAACAAAAACCGCGCAAAGTAACTGCTTCGTCCAGCCTGCTTGGTTGAAGAATGTATGTTCGTTTTTTTTTTCCGTTTTTTGTTGCTTCGCCACACTGAGCAAGCGACTTGCTGTGTAACGAGTCCTTCGGTGTCCTCA